TCCATCTTTTCACTGTTTGTTTCTAAATGTAATCACTAGTAAAATGTATAGAGTATTCAAAAGTATATATCTGTAACCCCAGGTGCATCCAAAGGCCTTCAGATGAACATAGAAAAAACAGAGATGATGAAGATTCCTAGCCAACAGCAACAGCAACAACGACACACAACAATCAGCATAAATGGGAGAAATCTGAAAGAAGCAAACTCCTTCACCTACCTACCTACCTACCTACCTACCTACCTACCTACCTACCTACCTACCTACCTACCTACCTACCTACCTACCTACCTACCTACCTACCTACCTACCTACCTACCTACCTACCTACCTACCTACCTACCTACCTACCTACCTACCTACCTACCTACCTACCTACCTACCTACCTACCTACCTACCTACCTACCTACCTACCTACCTACCTACCTACCTACCTACCTACCTACCTACCTACCTACCTACCTACCTACCTACCTACCTACCTACCTACCTACCTACCTACCTACCTACCTACCTACCTACCTACCTACCTACCTACCTACCTACCTACCTACCTACCTACCTACCTACCTTCCTACCTACCTACCTACCTACCTACCTACCTACCTACCTACCTACCTACCTACCTACCTACCTACCTACCTACCTACCTACCTACCTACCTACCTACCTACCTACCTACCTACCTACCTACCTACCTACCTACCTACTGAGAAGCATCGTTTCAACTACAGGAGGACGGAACGGATGAGTATTTCAAAGCAGGGACCGAGAAAGCAAGGTGAGTATCATTATTCTCAAGTCTGTGTAGAAATCAACAGCACTCAGTATGAAAAATTAGATTCGGATTTTCATCTCCAATGTGAAGTCAACGCTACTATACGGATCACAGACTTCGCGCCGAGTCACGAAGGGCACTTCAGACAAAGTACATACATTCACCAACTTCTGTCAGATCAGATGACCAGCCAGAAAAGGTCAGCAACAGGGATCTCTGACAGTGAACTAACCACCCAAGAAGGAACCGATTGTGCAACAAATATACAGGAAGAAATGGAGGTGGATTGGACATGGACTCTGAGAAGACAAACCATGAAGTGACAACACAAGACAGCCGATCGTTCGAGTGGAACCTGAAATGGAAGCGGCAAGTTAGTCGTGAGTGCGAGGGTGACATGGAGAAGGAGTTGATGTGAAGAGGAGATGAAAGCATGTTGACAGACGTGAAGCCAGGTGAAAACGTTGGTAGAGAACCGAAGTGAGCGCAATGAAGACGTGCTGGTGAAGCCCTATGTAGCTATAGGAACTAAAGGAAACAATAATTAGTGCATCCAAATATGATTTCATCACTTCTCTTTTCAAACAGTTTTTAAATTCCCCAATTAAATCAGTAATCTATTTGTATATAGTAAAAATGTTTCTGAACATATAGTTCCTTTCAGAGTCACACATTTCTTTATATCCGGTCTTATTGTTTTGTTATTTTAACTTAAAGAAGTGAACGACGATAAAAGAAACTCACAATTTGCAAATTAGTCAGCCACATTTCTATGTATATATCTATTTCAATTAGTGAAATTCCCCCTTTTTTTCCTTTGAAAACACCATAAACGATAACCAAGAAAGTAAGCGAATTTGCATGAAACTATATACTACTCACTAATTGAGATAAGTAGTTGTTCACCACTCATATTAACCTACCAGTAGTGCTTTCTGGTCAGGAAGGCCGAGGTGATCTATACTCTACTGGAATGGTTTTCCGCTTCTTTCGGGTCGAACTCATCATCTCTGTGTTCCTGCGTTGATTCAGCTGATAGATCTAAATCATGAGCTGACATCAGTCAGAGAACCACTGGAAAACCTGGGAATACTGGACAGCTGTTTCATCCTAGTCTCTTAGGACTATTCAGCAGTACATACCCACCACGGTTAGGACCCAGGACCGAGCTCGTAGACCATTCACCCACTGGGACCCGATCCAATGGTCCTCACGGCATTGCGCGACCAATGCGAGTACTGTTGAAGAGTCCCACACTAGTGAAACGAAACAGCTGTCCAGTACTCCCAGGTTTTCCAGTGGTCCTCTAACTGATATCAGCTCACGACGAAATCCTTCATGCAATCAAACACAAAATCCCTACAAAACCAATACTTAAAGATCTAAATCAGTTCAAACCACTCGATTTCCGATCAGCTACTTAGTCGAACTGGTCATATTCACAATTTACAGATTGGTGGTTTGAGCTGATTCGGCACACCGCTGATGATTTAGGGCCTCGAACGAGTACAACATGACTAGCCATCCAGCAATACTAGTTGATTGATATGAGCGGTATACTAACTACTCATCTCAGCCATTCAGTAGTACGTAGCTTTATACAAGTGAACAACAAGTCTAGGTAGATCCTTATGTTTCCTTCACTTTTTTTCCGTTTTCTGTCACCTGCTGTATAAAATAATTATGCTCATATACGTCCTTATTCGAATACATACCGTTCTGTCCAAATTACACAAATTAGTTCAATTTTCAATTTTATCTTGTTTAAATTAGAAGCAAACCAAAAAAATGCTTCCTAATTGGATTTGTTTAACGCGCGCATCCCATGTAATCTGATAATAATTATTTATTCGTGCAAACTTTAATTTACTTAATACATTCTTGAATAACAATCAACAAGAGTAACAAGGATAAAAGTAACCACCACAAGAACAACAGTAACAACTTGAACAGTTGTATCAAATTTAGCGTTTTTCTTCTTCATTTTCACAGGGGGTGAAAACATAGTTTACCCTTCTTAAACTTGAGACTAATGTAATTTTGTGAATTCCTCCTTATTCTATACCTTAAAGTTCATATACATATTATGTAAAATAGGGTATTTTAAGTTAGTGAATTTTAAGGACAACAGTAGAATGCTAAGTTTTAATGTTATATAGCATGAGATTTGGTGACATTTAATGCTTAGCTTAATAATGATCCCCTGGGCAAGAAAAATACAGACTTCATGTTAGACAAACTGGAGAATATAAAGGCGAAAACCGACAAGTTGGAGTTCAGGTGAATATATATTAGGAGTAGGAGACAGAGGTGATGAAGATATCTAACCGACCAACAACAATCACAACAAACACTAATCAACTTCAGGGGGAAGAAATCTGACAGATATCCCATCTCTCCCTGATCAAGACAGCACTGTTTCAACTACAAGTGGTGCAGAGTAGGATTTAAAAGACGAGATAGCAAAAGTGAGACAAGTTGAGAACAGGTACTGATCGAAGAAGACATTGCACAGTGGTAGCACTATATCGTGAATTGACAGAAATCGGAATTCATAGGTTGGCCATTGGATTAGGTCTCAATGGCTTAATGGTCTACGAGCTAGCTTGCCTTGTAACCAGAATTAGGGTGACACTACTACGTTAGCTCGTTACCATTATAGTCGATTGACATATTAACTGATGTGAGAAATGGTGTAAGCCCATATTGTCTCATTCATAAAACCCTCTTTTTTCACAAATCTACCCTTGTATTTGCATCTCATTAGGTAGGACTAGAATACGTTATTGTAAAAGGGTACATATTCGCTAGCACAACCAAATACAAAATCTCGACGATACGCTTTTTGGCCCACCCGTATTCTGTATGACAGAGAAAGTGTTAGGCATGAAACTTAGAACTTACTCATCAATTAGCGAAATAAATGGCTCCTTTTTCTCCTTCTATTTGTATTTTATGCTGACACTATTAGTTTTATCGCCATTTAACACTTTTTGTACATTTCTGACTTCATTGTCATTGCTGATACCAAAAATAGTTATTGCCACTTTTGGTTACTTTTACCCTGTAATGATTTTATTCGGTGCTACTAAGTAAATAAGATGCAATATTGTACCAAAAATACCCGTTATGCCGCCTTTGTATCATAAGTACTGTTTTGAAATAAAGTAAATCAATATTTTTATTGCGAAAGTATCAAAACATTACCCAAGCTCCACTGTACAATTTCGGATTCGTTCAAACGGTTCACTACATATGGATAATTCGCACAGAGGTCTGCCTGAATCAAATAGAATCAATCGCCAAGCTGTTGCAATTCAATTAGTTTCGAGGTATCAACTAATGTCTTGCATTTAACCCTTCATTTGGTACAGATTGAATTCGATCAATAAAGTTTCTGATGTAGCCAACACCAAATGACTTGACTTTGTGTCTCAAAAGGAGGGACATGAGTCCCTTCAAGATACCTCTTGCTGACAGATGACTGCCGGTAAGCGCAAAACCTTAAGTCTAAAGTCACCTGATGATTGCTTCCAACTGTCCAAAAATGATTTCAAGAGATATTTCGTCACAAATCCACCTCCAGTAGAGAGAATCTGCACACTCCTCAAGAGACACTGACTGAACTGAAAGCTACCGTTTTCAATGGTTCTCTAACTGCTTTCGCTCCCTGATACAATTCATAACTAATCACATAACTTAGAAGTTAGCTGATGGACGGTGACTAGTATTGGACTTCAGGATAACTCACATTTCCTCCTATTTAAGACTCGTCAGCCACTGAATATATTCGCATTCCCCAGTGAGTGATGATGTTTCCACTGAGGCTCTAACCCAGCGCCTATAGTTCCAAACGCCAAGGCGTTTTCCACTAAACCACTTGAGCCACGAGAGCCATCTCCTATGCCACGGGTCGTATTAATTATTTAGTTGAATGTTCAAATTTCCCGTCTACTTATTGGACCGAAGTGCTCGGTCGCGTCTCAAATAGGACGAAATGCGCGTTATCATGGATTCCACTGCTAGTCACCATCCACCAATTAATTTCTGATTACATGCCCAGACATCATCGAAGTATCTGCACAAGGAGCCTACATTTCAATCTGAAACCCAGCACTTCGATCCAATCAGTCAATCGATGGGAAAATCTAAAATTGAATTATTAAATAGATCGTAACCCCAGCTCCCAAAAAGAGCAGAAGAAAAGGAAGAAGAGTGAAGTACTTTGATAAATTAAATAATTATTTACGCTTCACTTATCATATGAATCTGAAAGGAATTGCTCGTAGATAATATAAAGCGTTAAAGTAAAATAGACTATGACAACAATAGTAGTAATAACAACAAAAATAGTAGATCACAACATCGAGAGAAACACAGAGAGAGCAGAGAAGGACAGAATAGAAATCGATCGAAGGAAACAGGAAAGCCAAGAAATGGAATCTCAAGTAACAATCTCAACAGGTTGCACCAATCAGTATTAAGCATTGATTCAGTGTGTTCATCTGTTACTCACATACGCATATGTATATATTTATATGTATTTGTATGATATAATTGAATTAAATATCTTTTTGTAGCAAACGATTTTCTTTTTTATTCACATTACTACTTATAATACTGCCAGTAGTATTAGTAGTAGTAATATTAGCACTACTTCTGTCCACTTCATCATTCGTGTATTCATCAATAGTAATACTGAGTAAATTATTCGATCTCGGCTGATTCTGTTGTTGTTGCTGTTGCTGTTGCTGGTGATGATGATGCAATTGATGGGGCCGACGTGAAATAACCGCTGCTGCACCTGAACGTCTTTTACTACTAGCCAATGATGACATCATCATCATTTTCGATGGATTTGTATGTGATCTCAGTGATTTCTTTTTAGGACTATTCATCGGGGAGATATTCTCTATATCCGTTCCAGTATTACACTGAACAAGAACTGGTAAGTGTTGTTGTTGTTGTTGGGAATGTAAACGTGACTGTTGTTGGTGTTGATGTTTTTGAGATTGTGGTGGTTGATGGTGATGTGGGTGATGGCGATGATAGTGATGTTGATGTGATGTTGTCTGTTGGGCATTTGGATACAGCTGACTACGCCACCACTTTTTCACTTCATCACATGAATCATTGATATGCTTACTTAAATCGACAATTTCATTATGATATTTGTAATTAGGCTTACGTATTAGCGTTGTTGTTGTTGTCGTTGAAGGTGAAATGCTGAGTTTTCCTGTTGAAGGTAAAATGTCGATTGCTTCCTCGGCTTCTTCTGCTTCTGACTCACCTTCTCTGCCTTCTTCTTCCTCCCCAACCTCCGGCGCCTCCGCGTCCTCTTCTTCTTCTTCTTCTTCTTGTAATCCTGAAGTAAGATATTTGAATGATGGAACAACGTCAACTTGTCGAACTTGACAATTTTTATTATTATTCTTATTACCATCTTTCTCCTCGCTTTCAATATCGACAATACCACCAGTCAATTCATTCGACCATAACTCATTCTCAAATTCTCTAGAATTTTTATCCAACCTCCTCTTGAAACTATTCCCGCCAACTTTACATGACAACTTTTTATCTGAACGTGATGTCGGTGTCGATGTCATATTCCCCGAACAACTATACACCATTAAATGTTTATCTCCCGGTTCATCAGTATCTTCAACGACATCCGGTAATTTTGATAATTTATTAATCAAACTTTGTCTCGGCTTACTATGTAATGCTGTCGCCTTCAGTGATGTAACAATTGTCGGCTTAACACGGGAAGACGATGATGATGAGGGGGAATTTGTTGATTGAGGTGGAGGTCGTGAGATCTGTTGCTGTTGCTGTTTTTGTTGTTGCACTTGTGGTGGTTGATCAGCTTCTTCTAATCCCATAGGATTTTCAATAATTGTAAATTCGTATGGTTCAATTAATTTAGTTGTCTTTTTCCCTTCAATTAATACTAGTGGGGATTCAATATCACTTTTACTACGATAAGATTTAGTGGCGTTTTCATTGATTAAACATGTGTCAATGAATGTTGTACCTCCAATTAGTTTACTCTGATTACTACTATTATTAGTAGTAGGAGTTGTTAGCCTATCCAGGTTACATTTACCCGAGATTAACTTTTTACTTAATTGAGTAGGATGTTGATAATGATGATGATCGATTGAGTTGCACAACTTCTTCTCACCTCGATCATCTGGTCGAAGTAAAGGTGTTGTATGATCGGAATTATCACAAGTATAGCTGTATTCATCAAAATCAGCCAAGGCTTTATTATCATCAGTAGTCGTTGTCGAAGTGTTATGATTGTTTTCATCACTTTGATTGATGAATACATTTGCCGAGTTATTATCATCTGTACGCTGATGGAACGATAACTTTTTACCCTTACGAAGTGTGTTACTCTGTGTCTCCGTGTTGGATTTTTTCACTGATTGAACCGGATGCACTAAACCAACAGATGCTGGAGAATTAATCGGGTTAACTGTCACAGAAGGCTTTGCAATCATGTTAGGAGTTGTGAGAGAAGAAGCTACATCTGGCGTTATTGTTGTTGCTGGTGTTGTTGTTGTTGTTGTCGGGATGAGTTTTACTGATGGTATCTTCACTTGTGGTGCACATATCATGCTGGCTCTTTCATTACTTGCCTCCAGTGGGATTTCCATTATCTTTCCGCTATGATCTTTAGGTGAAAAAAGTATTATTGCAGAGGATGTAGATGATTTATGCGTTATTGACGGTTGACTTTTGATGCGTACACTTTTAGTCGGTAGAAAATCACTCCGTTTGTTTAATTCATCGGATTCATCCAGTGCACTGCTAATTTGACGTTCAATATTTGAATGCATCTTAAATTTTAACTGTCCGTGTTTCTAAATAATAAACGAAAAGCATACAAATGAAAAGAAAATAAATGGCTGTGTGTAACTGTAATCATTACTGGATTTCACTATGAGCTGATATTGGTTAGATAACCATCAGTACACACCCACCTTCACAATTTGAACCCAAGACCTTATGGTTACAAGGCGAGCTCGTAGATCATTAAGCCACTGGTACCCGATCCAATGGCGCATGAATTCTAACTTCTGCCAATTCATGACATAGCACGACCACCAGGCAATGTCTTAAGCGACTATTTGTCCCCACATCCGACCTGCTGCACCCTGCTGGTTCCAGTGTGAAGTCACGACCAGTAGGGTACAGCAGGTCGGATGTGAGGACAAATACTCACCGAAGACATTGGCTGGCGATCACGCTATATCGTGAATTGGCAGAAGTTAGAATTCATGAACTGACCATTGGATCAGTCAGGTCCTAAGAGCTTATTGGTCTACGAGCTAGCTGGCCATGTAACCAGAAGGTCTTGGGTTCGAACCACGGTTGGTGCGTACTGATGAAGAGTCCCAAACTAGGACACAGGAAACAGCTGTCCAGTACTCCCAGCTGGTTTTCTAAGGGATCTCTAACCAGTGTTCAGCTCATTATCAAATCCCTACAAAACCAACACTTGAGTTATCATTACTATTTAATACACTTAACCATTAAGAATACTCTAAAAGATATGCAAACTTTGGATATGAAAATCCAAATAACATTTATTAAACTAACGAAATCAGGACAAATTACTAAACAAGATCAATGACAAATGAAATCTAACGGACCTATTTTACCTCGATTTTACACTAGACTGAAGTTACACAAACTAACCAAACATCCCCCTACAATCAATCGTTTTGCCGCCAGGAACACCAACATACAGTCTATCTACCTAAAGAAATTTTCAGAAAATTGAAAAACACCTAGCAGAATCATGAGACAATTCGAGCAGTTCGCCAAACCAGTTTATAGAGAAAGTTGAAAATATTCAACTAGTGGATGACAATGAAATAACGGTATCTTTGCATGATGTCACAGCATTATACACTTGAATCGGTCCTAAACTACCAAAAGAAACTATTATGCAAAAACTACCCTGTCATGATCAGCGCACGAAAACGAAATTTTCAACCTGGATTGAACTCATAAAATTATGTCTTACAAAATAGTTTCCAATTCAACAATCAAATGTACCAAGGGGATGAAAGAAATATCCGTGGGATCATCCATATCAGGATTAATAACTGAAGGCACAGCAAAGACAGAAATCTGAGTACGTTATGCTGATGAAACATTTGTAATAACTGATAGAGATAGGACTAGACACACACACAGAATAAACTGGTTACTGACAAGTGTTCGATCAAAAGTAACCAAAAGAGTCTTACAGGAGGTCAATCGCCGGCCTGAACAGCTCAGAGGTAACGTCTTTGATTGCAGCACTGCACTGGATGACGCGGGTTCGAATTTCAAAAGGGAAATGAGTTCCTTCAAGGTGGTTGCATATACGCCTTGATGACTGATGATTGCCAACTAGCACGACACCTAGATGTGTCCAAGGCTTCCTATGGCCGATTGCCTCCAACCATATAATACTAACAATTCACAGTGCACCGTAATGGTGAGCCACCTAGTGGCGAGGTGGCCACATTGCAAGCTTGACTGATAGAATTCAGTCTTCACCGAAGATAAAAGTAGACACATTACACTAGTTGCTGACTATTGTCCAATCAAAGATATGGGTTTAGCCGACGATTTATGTTTAATGTAGAACAAACATAAAGGCTGACAGGCAAAACCAACAAGTTGACAGAAAAGGCTGGTAGCAAAGATTGGACTTCAAACAAACACAGAGGGGACACGGAGGTGATAAACATAACCAATCAATCACTCAATAACAACCAGCACCAATCACAATCAATAAGAGGTCACTTCCCTCACTTATCTAGGCAGCATTGCATAAAATACAGGTAGTCAGCACGGACAAGGGTATCAAAGCCAGAATCGAAAGGGTAAGACAGACTTTCATCATTCTGAAATAAGTTTCGAAGTTTTCTGCACTGAGAATAAACAACAACACCAATGTCAAAGCAGTCCTTTGACATATGTCGGAAACTAACCGCAACACCAGAAGCTTTTATTTAATTGACTGCTACAGACCCTTATCAACAACTACTTTTTCCGGTTTCATACTGAAGACCAAATGGCCATAATGAACTCTGGAAGCAAGCCAATCAAAGACCTTTTATTCATCAAATATGCCTAAGAAAAAAGAGATGGAGTGAACTATGGTTGGGATATCAGAGGAGACGAAATTCCCTTAAAGATTTCAGCTCCAACTTGCTGACAAATGCAAATGAGCACAAGAAAATAGGTTTAAGGCCCCGCCAACTGTTTCCAAACATTCAAAAACAGAGTTAATCACTCCACACATTTTGTTGATCTTGGTATCGGAGCACGTACTAACTCCTCCGAAGGTTTCTTTCTGGCAAAGACTAGAAAACAGAATACCTGCAGTAAATGAGTCACAATGTGGCGTTGCCTACAGTCAAATCAATGAATACAGGCACAGAAAGTTATTTGGCTTCAGTATTAACACTCAGTCATAACTAGCACGTATTTTTAACTCATTTAAAGGGGAAGTATCCAGTATAATATTTTTCATTATTATTTTTCCTGTGAATCTAAACAAATTTTTACTTCAGGAAACCTGCTGCCTTTCGATCGGTCGACTAAATGTGGCTCACAGCTTCCTGTCAGTTGGATCAGTGTGCATAATGGTAAGGATAGTTGACCAAACTTCGTTACCTAAACTAGCCCTTTGAAACCGTGAAGATCACTAATCATGCAACTGTAGACTATTCATTTTTGTAGGATAGTTTACCACAACATTTTGTGATATCATTCACCAAGGACGACTAATACACACACCGGTCGTTCACTCATAATTCGGACTTACACGCTATTATTTATTATTACTGTTTTCTTTAGTTCCTAGAGGAACATAGGGCTTCAGCCACACCTCCTCACTGCGTTTGCTTCTCTGACAACATTTTCGCCCGGCGCCACATCTGCCCATATGCTTTCTTTCATCTCCTCTCTGCATGACCTCCTCGATGTTACCGTACTCTCGGAAAGCCAATTCGCCTCCTCCCATTCGGGTTCTAATCGAGCGATGGCCTGGTGTGTGATGTCAACTCATGGTTTCCTCAGAGTGTGGCAAATCGATCTCCATTTCTTCCTGCATATTTGTTGCACAATCGGTTCATGCCGAGTTAGATCGCTCTCAGAGAACCCTCAGTATCACTGATCTTTTCTGGCCGGCCATCTGACTTTGAGTGGTATTGAGCGAAGACAGCCGTCAATGAAGTCCTGTATTTGTTTTAGGTTCCCTTCGTGACGCGCAGTGCAAGTCTCTGATCCGTATAGTAAGTATCACTGACTTAACATTGGAGTTGAAAATTGGCATCTTGTTTTTTCGTACTGAGTGCTGTTGATCTCCACACAGAATTGAGAGTAATGAACGCTCACACTGCTTTCCCGACCCTTGCTTTGATATCCTAGTCATTTCCGTCCGCCTGTAGTTGAAACATTGCTTCCCAGGTAGTTAGGTAGGTAGGTGAATGAGGTTGCTTCTTTCAGATTTCTCCCATTTATGCTGGATGATTGTTGTCGCCATTGCTGTTGATGTTGGCTATCACCCGGTTTCATCACTTTTGTTTTCTCTGTGTTCACTTGAAGTCCTATGTTCTCTGTATGCTTCTTCTATCGCCAACTTGTTGCTTTTCACTTGTATATCTTCCAGTTTGTGAGAAATTAGACATATGTCATCGGTAAAGTCCAGATCATTCAAGTTTTGTGTGAGTCCATTTTATACCCATCTCCTCGCTGTCTGCTCGCTGTCTCATTATCCGGTCTACGGCAGTCAGGAAAGTCATTAGAAATAGTAGGCAGCCTGCCAGCCGGCCCTGCCTTACTCCTGTCTTCACTCCGAAGGATTCCGTGAGTTCCCCATTGTGGAATACTTGGTATGCAGCATTGTCGTACAAGTAACTTTCAGGTGAGATGTATAATTGTTGCCGAAATCCCTAGGTAGTAGCGAAGTAGTTGCCAAATCAACCCTCAATCGATGCTTTCTGCTGAAGGCCTTTTCAAAGTCAATGAAGTTGAAATAGACAGCTGACACACATTACAAAATAAAATTAATATTTATAACCATTTACTAATCATATAACTTTGTATAATGAGACTCACCTGACGATTTCTAAATATACACCGTTCAATCCATGCAGCAATAGTCTGTCTGGCAACCTCCTCTTCAATTGCATATTCCAATTCTTCTCGAGCTATTAGTTCTTCTAGCTGTAGAGTTTTTGTAATGTCAACAGTTCGATAAGCTAATACCCTAAACCGGAAGTAGTCAACAAAAAAGAAAGAAAAACAGCGATAGAAATACACCAAATCATTAAATGAAGTCTTGGTCATTGTTGATACAAATTCCAGTAACTTTGTTTACTGATGAACATAAAGCTTTTATATACCAGAAACAATATTATCACTATCCAATAAATGACATATGATTGAGCTACTGGGGGTACATCGATGACTACCTGAGATCCATTTGTGATAGCATTCAGCAAACACGAACAGACGGATATCCTACTGAGTACTTTAAATCATAGAGAGTGAATGCATCTGTGCCACTGAAAACGATTCCGAGCCATATCATCGATTGTTTCCAGCCATCTCTGGTTCTTACCATCTCGAGAACCCCACCCATTTAGACAGTCTACACCTCCTGACATGACTTAAACGAACTGTTGTGGATTTGATTGACTGATGAAGCCATGCTTTGGTTTGATCACCACTACCCCCACTTACCTAGCACTCAGCTGAGGCCTAACCTCAATCTTGGCCGCCTTATTACACCACTTAACACGGGAGATAGGACTTAGATATCTATGATCATGTCTTCCACATTCAATGATCATGTGTTATTCACAGCGATGAAGGCGGACAAAACGAACTGCTGATTAGTGAACACGCCATTTGGTCGACAGTCAATTGGATATCACATCTAGGCCAGAGATGGAGTAAATTGGTGTATGCCAAACGAGCCTTTTGTATCCGTGCTGAGATTTCGTCAGTAACCAATTCACTGTAGCCTATGCAACAACCTATGAATCTAAACTTCTATAAAATCGTGATTTTCGTCAAACAAGCGCTGGGTGGCTACTTGTGACGAGGCTCAAACTAGGACGAAATGGATGTCCAGTACTCTCTAGTTTTTAGTGGTATCTGTCAAGCTTGAAACAAATCAGGTCCCTACAAAACTAACTCTGATGCTCGTTAGTGACTGGCTACATGATTAAGTTATCTGGAGTTCTAGTGAGAAGTCATGACCAGTGAAGACCATCAACAGGCAGAAAGTGAGGATAAGTATTCACCATGGATGAAACTAGCTGATGTTCGCGTCAAAATCACGAATCGGTAGAGGCGTGAAACCAGTGGGTCTCAGTGACTAGATGGTCCACGAGCTAATTCTAGTTGTCACAGGAAGGTCATGGGCTCAAACCCTGGTGGTAGGTGCGTGCTACTAAAGAGTTTCTAACCACGGTTAAATAGCCGTTCAGAACTCTCAGGTTTTCTAGTGGTTTTCTAGATGGTAACAACTCGTAATCAATAATAATTTTTGATTTATGCCAAAAACAGTACTAATGATACAGCAAGGGATTTTCAGCATTCAGCACAATATTGCGTCTAATTTACTCAAAACGACGGAAAATAAACATTACATAATAATAATAATAACAAAATGTTATAGCAGCTATGTAGCAATTACAATATGCGATAAGGAGAAAAATATGCATAAAGTATAAAATTATAGTAATAATAGTTAATAACAACTAAAATAAAATAGCAAAGTTAGGGTTAAACGATAGAAAGGGTGACACCATAAAATTACAGAAAGATGAACGATGAAAGGGTCGATTCACTTTGCCAATTACATAGGAACTTATGTGTTTCACGTCTAACAGTGTCTTCATCACATAGAATACGCGCTAAATAGGGAATTGTAGAATTTTTGTATTTAGTGGTGCCAGGATATTACTTCTTATATTGACTTCTCGTCCTACCTGATGAAATGCATGGGGATAGTTGTGAATAAAGGGGGTGCAGGGGGGTCTGACAGTACGGCCTTTGTACCTAAAACCAATCCAATCCCTGCAAACCAACACTAAAAATTATATATCAGACACGAAATTCAGAAAAACTAATCAAATATTGGTCACTGCATTTAACAGATAAGTATTTGAGATAATGTGAATTTAGGAAATGGACATTTGGAGTAAATAAGAAGACAGTTGCAGCCAAGAAAATTTTATTTTCGACGAAGTCATCATCTAGGCTGTACATTCGTGTATTTATATCAAATGGATGGGAAAGTTCCAGAATAATATCCGGTCAAGGGTCAAATTAATAAAAATTAAAATTGGGAATTAGAATACCATAATAAACAGGGGGATGGATAAAACAAACAAAATAGCATTATAATAACTAAGAAGACTGACATTGTGCAATTAGGGGTTAGAAATGTAGAAATAGCAAAATAGACAGGATGTTTGGATAAAAACTAATGTGATGAATAATTGTTTATGCAATCAGGGATTAAATATGTAGAAATAGTAAAATGACAAAATAAACACTAAGTTCGGGTATGAAAATATGGTAGTGTAAACAGGGATTAAGAAAAACTTGAAATAACATGAATAAACAGGAAGTTTAGATAAGAAAGGACATTTGTATTACGCAATCAGCGCATGATTACCTAATCAATTTGAATGTACTTACCGAACAAAAGAGTGACAAAAAGATGGCAATGTGTTTAAATAAAACAGCAAATTCATAGATTTTAGGATTTCATCTTAGTGATTGAATGGTCAACGACTTCATCTTGTAACCTGAAGGTGTGGAGTTCAAATTTCTGACGGTGCAATCTTCCATACATACCAAAGAAGTGTCACCAGATAGGGTGAAACAGTGGTTCCCTATCTAAAGTCACTTCCTGATCCTGAATTAATAATAATAATAAATATAATCTAACTCATTTGTAAGCAATTATATTTGTAAAATCTCAGCGAAATTGAAATGATTAATTCTAACGTTTCGTTCGGAAATCTGGCCCGAAATTCGTCAGGGAAATTAATCGAAATTAACATAACAGGGGTCTACAAATAAAAAGGATATCTGTTATTTTAAAAGAAAACTTTTTCCAATCATATGAGTCATGAAACAGGTATCAACATTTATAATAAACAAAATTGTATGAACTGTAATCAAAATTTAACTTCAGACTTTCAAAATTAGTGTGCAATTAGTTAAGCAATTTAAGCAGAGTGGGCCTTTCATCAGATTACATTAAATTAAAAGTTCATGAACGTAGATAACTGAATGTGAAAATATATAAGTGTGTATGCGGTACACTATGGTGTATGTGTATGTGTGTGTGTGTGGGTGAACAGTCATAAAACATTTGTTATTCTCTCCATAAGAAAACGTAGACAATCAAGAATTCGACCAAGTGTGACTAGCTGTTGATATATATCCAATTTTACTTATTAATCAGGATTTGCCATGCATCAGCTAACATAACACCTTCACATCTGTTCAAACTGTCAGGTACCGCCTACATATGCAGGACTTCCGCAGTCAGTCTTTCTTTATGCAAACCAAAACCTTTCTGTAGAACTTTAGTCTTATCAAAGTCAATTTTATGTCCCGTTTCTATTCAACGCAGTGCAATCGCTGATCTGTTTTCTAGCTTGTTTAAGTCTGCAGAGGCCTTTGAAACCACTTTTAGACACTGTTTATGCTCTTCCACTCTGATGTTTACCTATCTGGAAGTTTCTCCTACATATACGGCGTCATAGTCTGAGGTCAAATTCTGATCACAACTCATACACTTTTGTTTATTGTACATGTTGATGCCTGTTTTATGACTCATGATTGGACAAAGTTTTTAAAAACAAGAAATGTTCCTTTTATATATAAACCTCTGTTGTTATGTTAATTTCGATTAATTTCCCTGCAAAAGTTCGGACCAGATTTCCGAATAAAACGTTAAAATTAATCATTTCAATCTCGCTGAGATTTTACAAATATAATTTTTTGTTTTACATATGTCTACTTCTCACTCGACGCCCAAATATTTGGGACGTATTCGGTCAAATCTTGATCACAGTTCATATAATCTTACTCATGGTAACAGAAATCACTGACTAGTCACCTGAGACCTCTATTTTCAAAATAGCATAAATATTACATACACACCGTCACGCTACTTTTATTCAAGGCAATATTCTTACCATGGTTTCACTTAACTTTTATTGTTTTGCTATTTTGGGGGTGTTTTCTCTACATAAATTACTTGATCACGGACTGATATCAACTCGTAAAAACAAAACTAACCCTTACAAAATTAAACTATAGAAAATTAATCTGATGCTCGCTAGTGACTGACTTGCTACAGAATGGAGTTTCCTGCAATCCTAGTGAGAAGTCTGGACCAGAAAGGTCCATTCAGATGTCACGTATGAAGATGGATGTCCCACAAACGACAATGGTTGGCGTCGCAGTAAGCCGTGAATTGGTAGAAGTTAGAATTCATGCGCTCATTGATCATTGAATCGGGTCCTAGTGGTGGCTGAATGGTATACGAACCAGCTTGCCTTGTAAAAGGAAAGTCCTGGGTTCGAACCCCACTGTGGTGGGTGCGTACTGCCGATGATTCCCAAACTAGGCGGATGAAACAGCTGGCTATCCAGTACTCCCTGGTTGTTTTCAATGGTTCTCTGACTGATATCAATCCCTGATCAACTCGTAAAAATATAACTTACCCTAACAAACCAAACTATAGAAAGTAAATTACTTTATTTATTTGTTTTTTTATGAATACCTTCGCATTTAATTGAAACACTTCACACACACATCTTGACTCATTATGTAAACACTTGAATTGATTTGGTCACTTTTTTAAAAGACACTTCTCGAGTAAATTAGATATTCGTTAATTAATGTAAGCATAATACAGTTGAGAATGTCAGTACTTAATTCTAACACTACTTTTAGAACTCTTTAACAAATAAAATTGGACGAAACTTCATTTATTTCTCTCTTGTCCGTCAGTACTAAATTAGCGGTAATATTAGTTTTTTACTTCGAGGTGATGAAATGCGTAGAAATGGTCACCTTCATTATAACACTCTAGAACAATCATCCAATCACCGACCACCACCCTCCAACCGTAGAAGCGGACAAGAGAAAATGTCTTGGAATTAAATGAAGTGTTATTACTTTTAATGCACTGTCATTATAAGCATCATAATCATTGTTGGAGGTGTTGTT